AGAGAGAGAGAGAGAGAGAGAGAGAGAGAGAGAGAGAGACATTCTTCATTTTTTTTGTGTGTGAAATTGTGAGATGCAATGCATTTACTGGAAAAGCTACTTCTAATTATTTCTGAATTTCCTTCCCAACGCTGACAGTGACCTGATCAGTAATCATCACTAAGTTTCTCAAGACCAAACAGTAGGTTTGTTTGTGCATGAATGAATGAAGGATACAAGGCTTTTCTTCCTGGGAGAAACCTTTTTCACTAGTATGGCAATGAATTAGCGGGTCTGCAACAATTAGCACCAGATTTGTCTTCGGAAGCTTTTCAGCTATGAACTGCCTGAAAACAAAAACACAGAAATATGTACATACTAATGGGCACAATTCACCTGTGATAAAGATCACCTTGATCAATAAGAGCTGGGTGATGACTAATTCAAATGTAATATAATTACATAAAAAATTCCATTTAATTTACTAATTGTTACATGATATGCCATCTATATAAAGAGAAAACACAAGTTACAGAATTATATAACTGCATGTTTAATTTAATTTCATATTTATTTATTTATTGTTACATGAAATGCCATTTAAATAAGTAAATAATAATAATTTAAATAAGTAAATAAATCGAAAACAAATGATATAATTATAATAATCAATATACGATTTTTTTTCTCAAATAAAGATAACTGCTTTGTTTGTAGGTAAACGTATGTAAAGGTCAGGAGCAATCAATATGTTTTATATTGAAACTTTATCACATTAAACGGACAACCAAATTTTTTTTTCTCTAAATTCGTTCCACGATTAAGTTCCATATAAGTCTCACCTGGAGCAGTTCTGACAATCCACAGTCCCCTTAAAAGTTGTCTCATTGTTCCCAAAGAAATACTGTCTCTGCTCTTTGATGCAACTCTCTTTAGATGGTTTTTCAGACAGGTCCTCATCTAGGTCCGCTGTGAACAAAACACAATTGCTATTCAATTGCCATGAGCTACAATACTTTAAGTGCTTATTTGAATTACTGTTGATTCAGTGGCTAAATAACACCCACTGAACGGTCAATCAGTCAATAAAAAAATTCAATCAAAATTTCCCAAAGTACACAGAATACAGTCAAAATTAACACCATGCCCCTATCACATTTATAGTCTTTGACATTCTGAAATAGAATATGTGGTCACACTCTGTGGTCGCACATTAATTCAACATTAGCATTCATTAGCACTGTAGTTTTGGCAGTACACCAGACGACAATGAAAACAGGCATCTTGCCAAATTGCAGTGGCTTGATCATCGTTTCAGAGCAATACATTACTAATGTCGGGATCTTACCTGCCTCAAGGAAATTAGGAAATGTGATGCTGA